TGATATTACGATCAGAAAGACCTGCATGAGACCATAGGGTTATGCCTGTGGCCCTGACCCAAGTCAAAATTTGGAACTTCGTCTTCAAAATACTTTTTTGGGGGCGTTTTGTTTCCTCGAAAGAAACTGTAAATTTTTAACTTTTGAACTTGTACCGGGAAAACAAGAAAATTGTGACGTCACAACTGTGTTTACATACCCTCATGCAAACATGGCTATCAACCAATCACAGCGTGCGTACTATTTAATTTATTTTATAAATTGAGATTAGTAAATATAATGATTATTGATATTATTAATCATCTGTAGGAAGGAGAGTTTCCAGGTCTGATCCCATTGATGAACAGTTACCTTAGCAACGTCGATGTGGACATTGACACTAGGTGTACGATTTCGCAGTATTTGAAGTTGATCCAGAAACGTGCTTCAGGTAGGAAATTGTCACGTGCCTTCATACTAGTATGGTTTGATAGGTGGTTGTAGTGTCGTTTGTCTATTTCCCCTCCCCTCCCCTTCTCTCCCTCACTCCCCAACTCCCCACTCCCCCACCCAACCAAATACATATACGTCCTTCTCTACAAAATTCCACATTCGAATTGAAACTGTTCTGGGAATTTTGCAAGCTCAATTTGCAACTTTGCAGCTATATTCCCAAAAGAATCAAATAAATGGCCGCCAAGTTAGTGCATTTAGCAGGAGATGCAAATGGCAAATCTTTAGCTGAATACCACCAACATGGCGGCGAAGAGTTAAAGAAAAGTCCCGTAAAAGTTTGATTTAAAAACGCGCGAATGAAAAAAGGTTACGACGTGTATTGCCAGCATTGATCACTCTACACGTAATTAGTGCGGGGCTAAAATCACCCGATTCTTTGAACTATTCTTTCCCCTTCCCGAATCTCACCAAGAAACTGAAGATATTTGCTATTGATCCAGGCGAATTAATGACTACTGCGCGTTGGATGCGTCAGTTTGTACACGACCATCCAAGCTACAAAAAAGACTCGGTGGTTTCTGAAGAAATCTGCTACGATCTCATGAACATGTGCAACAAGATTGCTAATGGTGAAGAGAAATGCCCCGAACTGATTGGAAACCACGTGTCCAAGACCAACAATGTTCTGGACAAGAAGTGTATACGAATACAGGATGAGATTAACAAAATGGAAGCTGAGAAGATAAAAGAGATGGGAATCTGAATCTAGTCTGCAAATTCATCAATTCAAACGGTCTCGCCAGTTGTAAATACCAATCAAATATTTCCAAGAACACGCCGGTCATGTTAGATGACATGCTGTTTAATAGGTCGTTTTTGGGTTATTTATCAATCACGCACGTACACTTAATTTCCATGTGTTTAAAAACCACAAAGGCAATTTGTAAATACGATCTTTCCTAGTGTAAACGTTCTAACGTACAATTTGAATCATAAATACTTCGTTATATATGCTTTAGTAGAACCTTACCAATGTCTTCTACACAACATTTTGGACAACTATAAAATCTTAGTGCAGTTTTCGTATAACTGAAAATTTCACGACACGAACACGGCCATGACACGGCAATGGATACGCCAGACCAATCACATTGCTCGAGAATTTACTCTCCATCCAATCAAATACCCGGAAAACGGCATAAACACAGCGCGGACAGGGTCACGCCTAGGTCACAGCACTTTTAGACCAATCATATTGCGCGTGAAAAAAATGAGCCAATTAAAATACTAGAAAATATCACGGTCACAGCACGGCACGTTGCGGCACTTATCTTTTCACAGTCATGCGAAAACTGCTCTAACCAGCAGAATGCGATAATTGACAATCATGATCATTCATTATTATCTATTACTATATATAGGTGTAATTCCCATGCTGCATCCAGACTAACGGTCAGGGAGCCTGGAACTTGCACCATAGGGCCAGTCATACTAAGTGACGTCATTTTTAGCGTTAATGATGACGTCACTTGTATGTGACGCCTTTCTGCAACAATTTCTGATAACTTCATTTTCTATCTATACTTGCATGAATAAAAAGTAAGAGAAATTATACACAATTAAATTCCGAATGAGGTACCCTGAAGGAAACTTGCCAGGTAATTCTCAAGTGTCATCAATTTACGACCCATAAACAATATTTATTTATCAGTCATTAACATATAATTAATGAGAGAATTAAGGTTGGGTTAATCCTTTATGCAGGAACATTGTGTTTAACAAATCGAAACGCTTGACGTCATTTCATGTTCGATTACCGTACAGACCCATAGAAAACTGGCTTTGATTTGTTTTTTTGTTTTTGTTTTTTTACCATAACAAAGTCGAAAAAATTGAACAAAAAGAGAAGTAAATACGGTAAAACCCCGCGTATAAGAACCTAGATTTTTCCAAGTCAGCCTGAACAGGTTCTTATATAAATGGTGCTTAACTTGAAATCAGGCTATCTAGGTTCTTAAATGGGTTCTTAATTTTTGGTAAGAAAAAGAGTACTGGTATTGGTGGGCGTGGCATTTTCTACATTAAATAATTCACACATTTTCTTGCTAGCTACATGGAATATAATAGAGTGCAAACATTAAAAGCACATAAATCTTACAAAATACAGTAGTGCTAAGTTATGCACAGATTGACTTTATATTTGGAAATTAAGAATCTACTTCGAAATTTAGCCTAAAATGGTTCTTATGTAAAGGGTGCTTAAAATGAAAATTCCATCCTGACAGGCTCTTAAATTTTAAGTTCTTATACGCGGGGTTTTACTATAGTTTTAAAAAGCCGTTTCATCCGCTCGCTCACTGCGCGTGACGGATGTCGTAAGCACAAGCAGGGCTAGGTTCTAATCGACAATGGTTCTAAGCCAATCAGCGCGCGAGAAATTTCCGAGTCATGGTGAGATATTTGCTTTTGGTGCATTTTGATGGATTGCAAACATTTTTGGTGTTTCTACACACAGAAATGACCCAATATGATGTAAATGGGTATAGATATCCCGCTGATCTGTGAAAGAAATTTTAAATTAGCCGATCAGAATCGAGAAAATGTGGTCGGTTTTACTTGATTTCCAGCCAAACAAATGAAAATAATAAGGTTGTTAATAAGCACTTGATAAAAGTGACTTGCACATCCTTGGGAGGGGTGTGTCAAGTGCAGTGTTTCTCACGACTATTACACTCCTGCTGTCAGTTTTCAACATGCCCAGCCTTTGACTGAATTTGCTCAATCATTCAACAGACCCCTTGCATGTGACGTCAAGGCAGCTTTAAAAAAAATTTCCAATCTCGTGAGAATTGGAACCTATTGTTATGTCCACCAGATTGAGCTCCAAATAGTTCCAAGGGGTCCATAATAGCCTATATATAGCTATACACATTATACAATGCTTAGTACTAGCATTATTGCACCGATTTACCAAATGTAACTTGTAAGTGTTTGTTAATGCTTTTTATACTAAAGAGGGTTTAACTGGATCATAAAGCCTAAACTTGCCGTTTCGGTCCTCGCAAATCATTTTACTATGTGCTCGGTTTGTTACTGTATTTATAACCTTTCTTATTATCGACGAAATACAATAAAACATCTCGTATATATACTACTGCTCATTCACCTCTCATGCACGGCATTAATGCGAGGACACGCGTGGTGCAATCTATTCTCGACTTTCACATCCCCATAATGCCTTGCGTTTTGGGGGGTAACCAATCAAAAAACTGTCCCAAATTGAAAGGTTTCTTAATTGAATTTATACTATACCTGCTTTTATCTGTAAAATACTGATTATCAGTTTATTCCAAGTTATTTTTGCGTGTACAGACCATCAAGAGTTTTGGTCTTACAGAAAATGTATTAACTTGCGAAAAAATGTTTAAAATCTACCTTAAACGTCTTCAAGCTTCTATCTTTTTCTGTTTTTTACTTCTTCATTTTATCTTTGGATACCAAACAAGGTATTTTCAACATTGTCTGATCAGCCTTCAGCAAAAGAAGTGGGTTTTTACCCTCTGGTTACCCCACAAAGACGCAAAGGCTTATGAGGATGTGAAAGTCGAGAATTGTTCAAACCAACATGGCTGTCGCTTGAAAAAGGCACATGGTGTTTACCACTACTCATTTCTAGTTTATTCGAGTTCCCTGCCGGAAATGTTGAGTGCGTAGCTATAAAGCAATGGTAATGTATTCCATAGAACTGGCGAAGACTTTCAACACGATGTCAGTATTTTGATGATAATAATGGGAAGTTCTTGTATAGCGCATTTATCCAACGTCTTAATGCGCTTTACATTTAAAACCAGTGGAGGAATCTACGCGCTGCATATTAAGGCCCTATTAGCAGCCGTGCAGCTTACAGTCATGAGTGTTTTTTAGTACATTAGTCTTATGCCTCCAGACAGGGATAGGCTGTTGAACCGGGAGACTATCCCCTACTCTTAGACGAATAATTTTTATTTTATTCTTTCATTTTGCGCTGGTAAAAGTTTGCCATGAAGTCAATGCACTAGGAACCTAAACACTAAGCACTTTCCTCAGGTTTGTGCACCACAGGAACTCCAAACACTTCCCTGAGGTTTGCGCACCACAGGAACTCCAAACAAGGTCCCTGTACATGCTTTTATCGGAAGGAAAATGGGAAAGAGCAGGAGCCCTTTACCTGGCGCGGAGAATACAACCGAAGAGTACCCATATCTCGAGTTATCATTTGCGAGGAATGGATTTTTTTATTCTTCAATGCTCGAAGGATTGGAAAACCTTTCTAAATAATGAAATAATATTGAAACTTTATTTATACAGCGCTATAGTTGCCACAAGTGGCCCAAAGCGCTTTACATAAGTATAAGATAAGACTAAACTTAAGTTACGATGTAATGCCAATATCAAATCACTAACAAAATAATAGTGAAATTGTGAAAAATAAATAAATACATAAATGTAGATGGTCCGGGAAAACAACTCCTACGGAAAAGTAGGCTTAATTGTTCAGCCGCTATCCACCCCTGCCCTGACGGTCTGGTAAAATGACGCCTGCTACGGAAGATACGTGAGTTGTATGCTCCGGGTAATGACGTCAGGGAAAGCGAAAATCAAATAAAATTTCAATGCTTTATTTTTGTCTTCACTTCACACGCTTTTGTTCCAATAACAGTGGAAAATCACGACTCAATAAATAACCAATCCGAGACAATGAAAAATCGAGGGTACTAGTCGTACCATAGTTAATAGAGGGGAATTAACTATGGTCGTACGCAACGTGTAATGAGTCCTGTCTTGCCCTAGCAAAAAAATATCATCAAAACGCGATGGTTCTTGATTTTAATATTTATCTGCGATTCGGTGTCAAGGAAAGGAAATCAGTGATATTTCGGGAATAATAACGTTTCATCTCGAAACTCTTCTGTGTTCCGGTTTTTGTATTTATATGTAGCTTGGTTTAGAAACTGGGACTTGACCTTTTGACAACTCGATTCTAGTCTTTACAATAACTTATTAATAGCTAATTGGTTATTTTTTGTCCATGAGGAAAGTCATATAAAAGGCTGATGTCTATTTGTTAAGTAACGAAAGAGGAAATCAATTACGATAGAAGACATGTTTATGAACATTCTTTATGGTGCCGATATTTGTTTAGATCTTATTTAATTAGTGCAACAAAATTGTAATAAATAACAGCCAAAGTAAAAAATAAATAAAATCATGCGGCACTCTGAGAGTAATTCCGCTATTTAGGTCAAACGTTTCGAACGGTTCTTCAAACCTTTTTAAAATAAATTCTGTTCAGATATTTTTGCAAGTTTTAGCATTTTTTGGATGACGTCATACCATGGCTGTGTTACAGAGGTCACGGGATAATCAAATCAGTTCGCAGTCCGCAAATTAGTTTGACAAAATTCTATTGTTTTATTCTCGGTGTTAATTTTCCATGGAGGAAGTATCCGTTTAAATTTAAAGAGAAAGGCATCGTTGGATACAGAAGTCCAATAGTTGTCTTGTATCTAGTGGTGCCTACCACTGCAAGGGTTTGTCAACAAACATGGATTGTCAGTACTGCTGTTATTACTTGGTATTTATAGCTTGTTGGCTGTGCTATTGTGTGATTGGTAAGTATTCTTACATCGAATATTTTCATCAAGGAATCAAGCTTTTTTCTAAACGTAGTGCTGTCAAAGTATGTAATAAGTTAGTTACACTCAATTGTCCTGTTAAATTTTTAATCAATTTTTTAGACATGTTCATGACGAATCAATAATTAATTTAATCACGTTCCAGTATGTAAATTCGTAAAAACCTAATATTTTCCCAAAATAATGCCGATGTGTCTTTGACAGTGCAAGGGTTTTTGAACATGGGTTGTCGGTACTGCTGCTATTTCGCATACTTGATATTTACKGCTCGTTTGTTGTATTATTGTGTGATTGGTAAGAACAGGTTCCTCAATTGATATTCATTAACTATATTTAAATCATACATAATGTTTTCTACAACGTAGATAATTTTTCTGCTCAGATTGCTAGCGAAATTGATTGTTAGAAAAAGGAATTAATGTACTGATACTTGTAAATTATATTTTTTCTTACAGCATCTCATAGTGATTGGCCAGAAGGATATTATGGCTTACCAATGGCAAATACTGGTTGTCCTAGTGGGGCATCATTTGATTGGAAGAGTGGATGGATATACCAAGACACTGAAGACAATAATCCAAGGAATGACAAGTCAGTCAGTTTTCATATCGAGGGACAGGTACAACCTAGCAGCATCAATAGGTCATTCTGTATAAAGACGCAGATCACTAACGATCAACGAAGGCCTGTTTGGCCAGCAGGTATAAGCTGGAACTGCCTGATTTCTTTAACTGTCAATCTATGTAATAACACATATTTGCTCTACTACAGGCACATACTGCATTTACCAAAGAACGAATTATTGTCCTTTGGGCTTCAATTCTGGCTTCATCAAATGGGACGATGAAAATTCCAGCAACGGAAATAAAGCGAAAGGAACTTTGCCTAAAGTCGACTCGAGAAATTCCGATACAAAGATATACTTTTGCTGTAGAAATGACGGATACAAGTCAAATCCGATAGATCTCCCAACGAATTCGCCGTTTTATCTATTTGCGCATCAACAGATGTCTTGTCAGCAAGTAAGATGGGCAGTGGCAACATCTGAATGGATTGACTATAACACAGAAGATGATTCTAACCGTGATCATGTCAAAAATCCAGCTCCATATGTCCAAACAACTCGCGGACAAAAAATATACTACTGCTACTATACAAGTGAGTTAAATCATCTTCATTTAATCATGTAACCTGATGTCATTTTGTTGCTTCTCTAATTATAAGTTGGCATTGCCTTATTCAATGGGCTATTCTATTGAAGTCCTTCTGAAGTTGATAAAAAAAAGTTGCTCTTCGCTCTTTCGGGAGATACATTGCGGGCGGAGGGAGGTGTTTTAATCGGCATTACCCTTTAATTACATTATATCCACCTGGTTAAATGCTTTTATTAGAACTCTGAACATGTTAACTTTGATTTTAGGTTGTCAGTACACACTTAATGCAAGTAATGGGATGATCAATTTCCCTCGTCACCCGGGAAACTATGCAAATGGTCAACTTTGCTCGTGGAGAATTACCGTCAAAGCTTTTCAAACTATCGAGGTTCATTTTGCACATTTTCGTCTCAGTGACGTTAATGATCAGCTGATATTTTATGATGGAAAAGAGGAATCTGATCCTCTTCTTGCTACTTTACATGGTAAAAATACAGAAAGTGAAATAACTTCACAAGTCTGGCGGTCCAAAACGGCGGATCTGTTTGTCGTTTTTCGTTCCAATCGCGTTAACACTGCCTCTGGATTCCAAGCCTCATACAACGCAATTGGTAAGTTCTTAATAACGTTGAGAAACTTAAAAGGTAACGATCTGTCAAGGGCAACTCAAGAAACACAGTTTTAGGGTACTTATTAAAATCACTTTCTTTTATTTCAAATCTAGCACAATGCTTTCTTGATAAATACTTACTTCAAGAATGAATTGCATGTACGTACAGGCATCTAAATGACCGAGTTGTAAACAGCAATTCCCAAATACCGGTCAGTTTAAAATGATTTATTTGAAATCAATATAAATCAATGTTTACTCGGGATAAGAAAGAGATCAATATTAAAGTACAATCAAAGAATAATAATTTTAGTAACCGCCATGCACTAAAATGAATTTCATTTTCTCATTCAGTAAATTTATGCAGAGAAAAATTGCAAATAAATCAGTAATATTATATATTTTAAAAAGATTAAAAATTAATCATATCTAATATAATATAATTATATTATATATAATATATATAATTATATCAAAAATAGAGTGCAGATTAAACCTTTAGAGTTGTAGAGCCACTTTCAGCTGCAAATTGCTGTAAACACGATTGATTTACTAGATGATATTGGCACAAGATTTTATAAAGGAGTATGAAGTAATAATTAGTAGTAATGTACAAATAATTTTCTTATTTTAGGCACTCCAGCAGCAACAACAGCTGAAGTAACAACAGCTGAAGTAACAACAGCTGAAGTAACAACAGCTGAAGTAACAA